AAATAGAGGACACAGAGACCAATCCACAAAATTACAACTTTCTTATATTTGATAAAGGGGCTAAAAGCATGCAATGGAGGAAGGATAGCATCTTCAACAAATGGTGCTGGGAAAACTGGAAATCCATATGCAACAAAATGAAACTGAATCCCTTTCTCTCGCCATGCACAGAAGTTAACTCAAAATGGATCAAAGAGCTTGATATCAAATCAGAGACTCTGCGCCTGATAGAAGAAAAAATTGGCTCCGATCTACATATTGTGGAGTCAGGCTCCAAATTCCTTAATAGGACACCCATAACACAAGAGTTAATAACTAGAATCAACAAATGGGACTTACTCAAACTAAAAAGTTTTTTCTCAGCAAAAGAAACAATAAGAGAGGTAAATAGGGAGCCTACATCCTGGGAACAAATTTTTACTCCCCACACTTCAGATAGAGCCCTAATAACCAGAGTATACAAAGAACTCAAAAAATTAAACAATAAGATAACAAATAACCCAATCAACAAATGGGCCAAAGACCTGAACAGACACTTCTCAGAGGACGACATACAATCAATCAACAAGTACATGAAAAAATGCTCACCATCTCTAGCAGTCAGAGAAATGCAAATCAAAACCACCCTAAGATACCATCTCACTCGAGTAAGATTAGCAGCCATTATGAAGTCAAACAACAAGTGCTGGAGAGGATGTGGGGAAAAGGGTACTCTTGTACATTGCTGGTGGGACTGCAAATTGGTGTGGCCAATTTGGAAAGCAGTATGGAGATTCCTGGGAAAGCTGGGAATGGAACCACCATTTGACCCAGCTATAGCCCTTCTCGGACTATTCCCTGAAGACCTTAAAAGAGCGTACTACAGGGATACTGCCACATCGATGTTCACAGCAGCACAATTCACAATAGCTAGACTGAGGACCCAACCCAGATGCCCTTCAATAGATGAATGGATAAAAAAAATGTGGCATTTATACACAATGGAGTATTACGCAGCACTAAAAAATGATAAAATCATGGAATTTGCAGGGAAATGGATGGCATTAGAGCAGATTATGCTAAGTGAAGCTAGCCAATCCCTAAAAAACAAATGCCAAATGTCTTCTTTGATATAATGAGAGAAACTAAGAACAGAGCAGGGAGGAAGAGCAGGAGGAAAAGATTAACATTAAACAGAGACATGAGGTGGGAGGGAAAGGGAGAGAGAAGGGAAATTGCATGGAAATGGAAGGAGACCCTCACTGTTATACAAAATTACATATAAGAGGTTGTGAGGGGAAAGGGAAAAAAAAAAGGAGAGAGTTAAATTACAGCAGATGGGGTAGAGAGAGAAGATGGGAGGGGAGGGGAGGGGGGATAGTAGAGGATAGTAAAGGTAGCAGAATACAACAGTTACTAACATAGCATTATGTAAAAATGTGGATGTGTAATTGATGTGATTCTGCAATCTGTATTTGGGGTAAAAATGGGAGCTCATAACCCACTTGAATCGAATGTATGAAATATGATATGTCAAGAGCTTTGTAATGTTTTGAATAACCAATAAAAAAAAAAGAGTTTACACACACACAAAATAAATAAATAAATAAATTTGTGATTGTTTAGGCTGGAGTGGAGGGACTAAGAATTGTAGAGTTTCTTTTGAGGAGAAGAAATGTTCTAAAATTCATTGCAGTAATGGCTACATAACTCTGAATATATCAAAAGTGATCAAATTGCACAGGGTAAGTGGGTGAATTGTATGATATACAAAATATACCTCAATAAAGCTGTCTAGAAGAAATGAACATCTGGTGATCCAACTCAGAACATCAGTAACCAATTGTACTAAGTAGGAAGGGCACAAGCCTTGAGGTGCTGGATATCTTGATTTGGGTGGTAATTACATGGGTGTACACATCAAGTCATACAGTTAAAACTGAGTCACTTCACTATAAGTCACTGATACCTTAATAAAATTTTTAAAAATAGTAAGATAGGTGTGGTGGCACTTGCATATAATCCCAGCCACTTGGGAGGCTGAAGCAGGAGGATTACAAATTCCAGGCCAACCTCAGAAACTTAGCAAGAACTGTTTTAAAAAAATAAAAAGAGCTTGGATTGTAGCTCAGTGGTAAAGCTCCCTGGACTCAATCCCTAGTACCCCCACAAGATAATATATATGGAACAAGTGAGTACTTCAATTAATCCTAAGAAAAGTACATCTAACTATTATAGGGAAACATAGATTCAGAAAGGTAATTTCACCAGGGGTAGGGATGAAGCTCAATAGTAGAGCGCCTGCCTAGCATGTACAAAGCCTTGGGCTCAATTCCCAGTATCAAAGAAAGATCGAACGAACACACACACACAAACTTGCCCAAAAGAAGGCACTTACACTTTTGGCTCCTGACTCCAATATTCCACTACCTTTAAATCTCCTCTAAGTAGAACTGCTACTTGATGCATGGTACATACACATAAATATTTGCTGAATACATGAGTACCATAAAGCACACATTTAAATTATTAAATTCTATTTAAAAGTGGCGGGGTTTAGCTGAGTGGTAGAACAAGTACTTAGTATGTACAAGGCCCTGAGCTCCAGCCCCAGCACTTGAATAAATAAATAAATGCACAGAGGGACAAAATTAAAGGCACAGAAGAATGTAGCTAAAGAAAGTTACATGGAAAATCTAAAACTTACAGTTATGCTTAAATTTAAGATAACAGTATGAACAGAACTTAGAAGTGGGGATTAGTATGGGAGAAGACTGGAGCAATCATAATGCTCTAGGAAAATATCTTGTATAGCGTTTCCAACTTATTAAACATTTCCTGTACCACTGAGTTATTTAAACCAATATGCTCAAATTTTAATAGCAAGGGTAGCTATACCACCAAATACATATAATTTCTTAAAGGCATATAAATAAGTACCCTTCTCCCTAGCATAACTACTGTGGGGTTAATGTGGGTTTTCAAAGAATCACAGCAAATAAGGGGTCAATAAGAAGCATTAGAGAATAGAGGCACCCCACAAATTCAAATACCAAAATTACAATGCTTCGTGAGATTTAGCCACACTAAGTTCCTATTTTCACAGAAATTCTAAGAGTAAAAAAGGTCACTGGCAAATTTAAACAAGCAAGCCAGCATACAGTTCAACTGCTTTTTTTTTTCTTTCAAGATGAAGAGCTCAGGGCTGAGTTGTGGCTCAGTGGTAGAGCACTCACCTAGTATGCATGAGGCACTGGGTTCTATCCTCAGCACCACATAAAAATAAAGATACTGTGTCCACCTAAAACTAAAAAATAAACATTTAAGGAAAAAAAGATGAAGAGATCACAAAATAATGGCTTATCTTCACTTACTTGAACTGAGGCTATAGCATTAATTACCAATAGCTGCTTATGAAAAAGGAATCAAGTCTGGAGGCAAACAGCAACTTCTTAACCAAAACAGTGAGGAATAAAATATCTCTTAGAAGAATTTACAAACAGGAAAGGTGACCCAATAAATCATCTGTTTCACAGGTAGCATTTTTGGTGGTGTCCTTTAAAATCCCCAATTTGGAATATTATTTGTCATTTTCTTTTACAACATCCATCATACTGATCTATTTGAAGAACAATCACTGACAAGATAATTTAAAATCCTGACATTCTAGATACTAAACCTGTCAAAACAGTTTTGAAAGCTTGTGGGGAAGGGGTGGGTAGGGACATTAAGAACAATTCTTTATGAATGACTGACTCTTCACCCCTAAACCAATCAGTATTCAAGAAATTTAGTATCAAGCTCTGTATCAACTGGTTACAATAAGCTTGACTGTTTCTGTAACTGGGAAGAGAAAAAGGAAAATGAACATCTATACACATACACACACAAACACCTGATACCTTGTTTCCCAGTTTATAGTCAGCCTCAGTTTAGGACAAGTGTGTAACAGAATCCAAACACACTTTGAACAATAATTAAAGCTATCATTTACTGAATCCTTGGACACTGTTCTAGGTACTTCAAACACATATGGTGGTTATTCCTCCCACTAACTGGTAGATACCCATACCGCTATTTAATGGGTGAGGAAACTTACTCAGTTGCTACGCTGGTAAACGACTATACTGGGAACTGAAACTCACTACTTCTGATTCCAAAAGCGGGCTTTCCTTGATTCAACTACAAAGCAGAGCCTTCCATGACAGAAAAAAAAAAAAATAGAGAAGCATATCCTTTCACTTTTTCCTGTGTTACTGATGTCTCGGTATGATTTAGTGACTAAATGCAATACTGGAGTCAGGCTATCTGAATTCAACCCCAATTCCATCACTGACAAGCTGTAAGTCTTCCTATTTCATAAGGTGTCTATTTCATAAATGCGTGCTTGTAAAAGGCTTAAATAGTGCCTGCCATCGAATGTAGGGGAATCACACCAGCTCTGTTGAGGGGGTAAGTGGTACGTGATGATAAGGTTTCCAAAGGGGGGGAAAAATTCTGGGCAACGAACTAGTAGAAGCAAGTTATCACATGACAATCAGAAGTAACCTGGCGGGAGAAAGAAGGAGCGAGGAGTCAGCGGCGGCAGAGGAGCCTAGTCGCCCTACTCCAGCAGAGGTCCGCGGGAGGCGGCGGCGGGGACGGAGCCAACTCCCAGGGAGTGTGAGCAAAAAGACCCCGTAGTCTTTCGGAGATGAACGAGAAGTGGAGATAAGTATGCCCGGGAGGATGAAGGCCGCCGTCCGGGTGTGAGGGGGTCCGGCCAGGCACCCCAGGGCGGAAGCCCACCCGGCCATCCCAAGAGGCCTTGCTCGCGGGCAGTAACAGTCCACCCCAGAGTCCGGTGCGGCCGGCCAGAGCACTCGGAGGGGCCCACCGGCGTCGGGAAAGGCCCGCCGCGGCGTGGGGAGCGGCCTACCTCGGCGTCTCTGCGGGTGAGAAGTGGGCTGTGGCCCCGCCGAAGCCGAAGAGGAGGCGGGAAGAGGGCGGGCTGAAGGTCTGCGGAGGCGGCAGGTACTCACCGGCCGGCGCGCGCGGCTCCGCAGAGCCCCTCCTTCGGGACGCTGGGGGTCGCGAGAGGCTGCAGCGCGTCAAGAGTTGGGGATCGTCGGGCGCGCGCGAAACCGAGGCACCCCGGGCTTGAGACGCGATCTCTAGACCCGCGCAGGCGCGGGAGACTGTGGACGCAACCAACCTGGCCACAGGGGAAAGCCGCGGGATGTACCAACTGCATGAAACGGGGCACGCGGCAGTCCTGGCCCCTCTGGTGCGCTCTCTGGCCCCGTGGTTTGAAAGGACTCGGCGGCAGTGGTTTAAGAGGAAATCAAGCGGTAGCCCTTTGGCCCCCAAATCACTTCCATGAATCCTTCGAAGTCGGCTCTGCAACATCAAGCCGCCTCTTGCCCTTTATTTGGATGTATCCGAATTATTGCGTTCACATAACTACTTACCATCTCCTCTGAGGTTAAGTGTCACCGTCTGATCCTTTCAGTAGAGGTAAGGAATCGTAGAAACGAAACTCAAGACGACCAGGTGGAAGTGTAGGATTAAAACCGCCACTTTTGAGAACAATTCGACTTGATAGAATTGAAAATGCCTGTTTTGCCGGGCGGGGTGGCGCATGTGTGTAATCCCAGCGACTGGAGAGGCTGAGGCGGGAGGACCACGAGTTCAAGACCAGTCTCGGCATTTAGCGAGACCCTGTCTCGAATTTTTAAAAAAAATAAATAAATAATTTGAATGCTTGCCGACCTAGCAATTTCACTTCCAGGAATATACAGAAAGAAATTTATTCAAGTATACACAAGAAGATATGTTTCAAGAAGCCTGCTTCCTTGTTAAAAAAAAAAAACTGCGAACAAAGGAAATGCCCAATATTCAGATGAAAATAAATAAAATAATAATATGTAGATGAAAGAAGTTTGAAAAATGTTCCTATGATAAGACAATACAACTAATATATAAATTATTCCTATACTTTTTTTTTTTTTTTTTTTGGTATCAGGGATTGAACTCACCAGCACTTAACCACATCCCCAGCCGTTTTTTATTTTTTATTTTGAGACAGGTCTCCCTAAATTGCTGAAGCTGGCTTTGAACTTGCCATCCTCCTGCCTCAGCCTCCCATGCAACTGGGATTATAAACATGCACCACACACCCAGCCTTATACATAAGGTTTGATAGCTCCTAACAACCTGAGTTATTGAAATAGTAACATACCAACAAATATGTGCACTGTGGAATCACCTATGTAGACTTAGAAATAGGGAAGAAGCTGGGTATGGTGGGGCATGACTGTAATTACATCAATTCGGGAGGTGGAGGTGGGATGATCATAAACTAGAGGCCAGCCTCAGTAATTTAGGCCTAAGCAACTGAGTGAGACCCTGTCTCAAAAAATAAGAAAGAAAGAAAAAAAAAAAAAAAAAAAAGGTTGGGGATGCAGCTAAGTGGTTTAACATCCCTAGGTTCAATTCCTGGCACAAAAAAAAAAAAAAAAGTGGGGAAGTTACATATTTTGTGGTTCATAATTTGTGGAAAATATACATATAAAAGTATGGAGATGGATGATGGATGGATGGATGGATTCACATTATGGTAATGGTATAATAATATGTAGATGGTAAAGGAGGAAGCAAAGAAGGGGGAACAAAATGTACTTAAGATAGATATCAGATTTCTTTTAGAAAAGAAAAACCTAGGGCTGGGTTTAGTGGTAGAGAGTATGTTTAGCATGTGCTAGCACCTGGTTTGGATCCCCAGCACCAAAAATAAATAAACCCAAAATAAACATAACAAATTATTAACAGTTGACTAATAGGACATAGGTACATTATTCTCAGAACTTTTCTATAACATTTAAATTCTGAAATATCCTGCCCTATACCCCCGAGTCATCTACCATCCCATCTTCCAGATCCAGCTTAGTCATTTCTTCCTCTGCTTTCTCTAATCCCAGGAGGTTCATTTCTCCTGCTTGCTTCCTCAGTTGCTGAGACATTCAATCTCCCATGGTATGTTATAATTATTTGTTTAATGTGTCTATGTCTTCTGTAAGACTTGTGATCTTTCTGAAAACATGGTTCATGTAACCTTAGAAAGCAGCAAAAAGCCTGGCCAAAAGCAAGGACTCTATAACTGTGAATTTAATTGAATAGAATTGAATTGTAGGAAGGGTCAGAAAAGTTTTCAAGTAGAGCCAGAATGATCCTTTTAGAGCACTAACTTCAAGGAAGAATGCTGATGTGCTATGAATGGTGGCAGTTATTCTATAACCCTGAGGAGAGCTAAACTATGGTGTGCAAGCCTCTAAGAATTCAGTGATCCCCACTCAGGGCAGTCACACTTGTATAATCCTTCTCATTGAGTGTGAGCTATAATTAACGACTTACTTCTGAATATTATAAAGCAGAAGTAGTAGGATGTCATTTTCAAGACTAGGTTATAAAAACACAAAAATAATAAATAAATAAATACCACTGGCTTCCTTTCTGAGCACTAGGACTGGAAATAACCTCAATTTGGAATGGAACATCCAATTAATGGAATATTATGCAGAAGTAATGTATGACATCAGAAAAAAACAAAAATCACACACGCACATACAAAGGACAAATTAGAAACTATGCATTAGTTATCTCCTAGGAGGCAGATAGAAAGAATGGTGGGAAAAGCTAAGGATGTCCATCAGTGGAAAAGCATTAACCATACATATGTGAGGCCCTGGGTTCCATCCCCCCCCCCATACACACAAAAAAAGTAGAACTAGTAATGATTGAAATGGGATAAAAAAATTTATGGAGGGGAAACATTCTACTACATTAATAATTTTTTGTATGGTTCTAGTTTGGGAATCATGTTTCTGTTTCATATGCTAAAAAATAAAATCCTCAAGGATGGGAGCCTGTAAACAGCATACAGAGGGCTGGGATTATGGCTCAGTGGTAGAGCGCTCGCCTCGCACGAGTGGGACCTGATTCGATCCTCAGCACCACATAAAAATAAAGGCATTGTGTTGTGTCCATCTACACCTAAAAAAAAAATAAATATTTTTAAAAAATGACATACAGAAACAAACCAATTATATTCTAAATGAATAACATAACCACACTAAATAAGGGAAAAGTGGCGAAAACAAAACAAAATGCACAGTGAAGAGGAAAAAACAAATGCATACATACAAATATGTGTTATACCTATTGAGAGAGCCTAGAAGCAATGACATCCCAGTAATAAAGAAAACACCTTGAACCTTGCTCCAGATCTTGCTATTTATTTATTTAGTGGTAGCAGAGATTGAACCCAAGGGTGTCCTATAACTGAGATACATCTTAAATCCTTTTTATTTTTATTTTGAGACAGAGTCTCACTGAATTGCATAAACAGGCCTCAAACTTGAATCCTCTTGCCTCAGCCTCTGGAGGAGCTGGTATTACAGGAATGCACCATCGTGGTCACCACCCAGACCTTGGTTTTTAAACATTCTCTACTATAAAGAAAAAGAGCTCCTCAGAAATATAGTTGCCTCTGGGAAAAGTACAGGATGAGACTTGTATAAGAGAGTACAGAAGTATTCAAAAGATGCAAGTGCAGTGGCACATTCCTATAATCCAAGCTACTTCCTAGGTGAAAGCGTGAGGCCAGCTTGGGCAATTTAGTGAGATTCTGTCTCAAAATAAAATAAAAAGGGCTAGGGGTATAGTGCAGTAGAGTGCTTGCCTATTATGTATTATGTTCAATGCCCAGTACAGGAAAAAGGAAAAATAAATAAAAATGAAGAAAACAAAACACTCACAGAAGGAAGGATGAGACCATGTAAAAATTGCACAAAGGCATCATCAAGGAGTTTCTATGGTACAATTTGAAAATCAAATAATGATAGTCATGGAGCATAACTCATGTGAAATAGTGTCCTATAAGTCTATATTGATGTAAAAAAATAAAGGACAGGGGCTAGGGATGTGGCTCAAGCGGTAGCGCGCTCGCCTGGCATGCGTGCGGCCTGGGTTCGATCCTCAACACCACATACAAATAAAGATGTTGTGTCCGCCAAAAAACTAAAAAATAAATATTAAAAACTTCTCTCTCTCTAAAAAATAAATAAATATAAAAAAAATAAAGGACATCCCTTCCATCAAGTAGAATGTCAACTAAAAATGTGGAAAGAATGATATTTAAAAAACCACAATTTGGCAACAATTAGAGTAATAATAAATTCAAGCATTATCAATGAATGCTAAAACTTGTGGATACAAGGTGGGTGACTAACAAATTTACATACTTTCAAAGAATTATCTCACAAGATACTTATTAGTTACAAAAGGAAAATTGCATCTTCTCAGTGGAGAAACTTGGACAGCACTTATCATTGTCAAAGATATCATCAAAGTAATGATATGGACCAGTGTGGTGGTGCAGGCTGTACTCCCAGCAACGGAGGCAGGAGGATTGCAAATTCATACATTTACTGTGTTCACACCTTTGAATTTAGGAATCCCAAACTTAAGGTACAAAGCCATCCTTGACTGGGAATGTGGCTCAGTGGTAGAGCATCCCTGGGTTCAGACCTGGATAGCAAAAATAAATAAATAAAAGTAGATATTGATACCAGTCTTATTGATGATCAGGACAAAGTTCCTATTCCAAGGAGTTGAAGAATGAAACCATGAGCCACATCCTCAGCCCTTTTTTGTATTTTATTTAGAGACAGGGTCTCACTGAGTTGCTGAGGACCTCACTCAGTTGTTGAGGCTGGCCTTGACCCTGCAATCCTCCTGCCTTAGCTTCCCAAACCACTAGGATTACAGACAAGCACCACGGCACCCGGCATAACAATCAAGCTTTATTTAAGAAAGTGGTAGAGACAGACTTCTCCAGAGAGGATGGGACTTCAGAGCAGAAAGCCCATGGGAGGGATGCAACTTGCCTTTTTTATAGCCCTCAGAACTTCTATCTTCCATTAATCATTGTATTTTCTTTCTTCCCTATCTATTCGTTCGAACATGGAAGGTTTTTTTAATTTTGTTCTTTCTTTGAAAAACAATCATCACTCTCTTGACCCTCATTATTTTACCCATGTTGACTGCCTGACTTGAAAGATTGGCATCAGCCAATTTTCTTATTACCAGACCCTCATCATTCTTGC